TTCCCCCAACACTTGAATATTTAGAAAAAAATTTTTCATTTTTCTGCACTTCATGTTCTTGCACACTGAATATGCCTTGAGTTTTCAGGTCCTCGTAGTCAGTAGTGACTTCATTTGAAGAGCAGTTTTCCATTTAAATTTACTCAACTGCTTTCCTCCAAGAAAAGAATTATAGTCTCCTACAGCCACATTTTAAAATTCGGGTAAGTAATCATGCTTGAAAAAAGTACAACATGATGGTTTGGTCATTATTATCCATTTCCTGGCAAATTCTGCTACTCCAAATCACCAGTCAAGGACACAGAGGATTTTACGGAATGAAAATGATACATGACTATTCTCAACCAAGACAGAAATATTTTAAAGCTTACTTCCACATTATCACCATAAGAAGCAAACTGCCAAGTTTTGCTCCAACAAGCCATCTCCTCCTCTCACTTTGCCATTATTTCTCTTGATAAGACAAAAGACATACCACTTAAACTTTACCTTTCAACAGTCCTTCAGGGGAAATCTGACTTAAATGTTTCCTAACATAAAGTCTGCAAGTTTGCACACGTTACCTTTTCAAACGTTTTTTCAGTTGTTCTAGATGCCTTGCATCAACATCCTGGAGAATTAATATGGTGGCTTTAGACTGAAATGGATTAAACTCTATAGTCATCAAACAACAGAGATCTATCAGTTGTTTTTGACATTTCTCTAAACCGTCCTTAAGCTTTAGACGTAAAGCTGGATCCTTTTTCTGCCTGTTCATTTCAGGCACTGAAAAGCCAATCAAACTCGTTAGAATATCATCAGCAAAATCTACTTCAAGATAACCTGAACCATCAGATATTTTTGCCTTTATACCCCAGCATCCATTGCTGCTTGTGAGGTTTCCAGTGAGAGTAACAATAAAACACTTAAGTTTCAGAATGGTAACAGTTCTTGGTTTTTTTGAAAGGAGAAGGGAAATATATGTGAAAGGTGGAGAATCTAAATCTAAATGTGCCTCTTCTGCTCTGCAAAGCAAGCTCTGTGAATCATGCTTCTGCTGATCTGCTTCTGGATCCATTTTTGAGAAAAATATAGGTTCATCACTTAACAGCTTGCTGTCACAAGTGTCTTGGGGTCTACATCTGCTGTCATCTCGTTCTGTATTATTCTGCCTTTCTCCAGGATTTTCCAAAGAAAAATCTGCAGAACTGCACACCTGATGTATACCCTTGTGCTGCGAAAAGCTACTCATACTACTTCCATCTCCATCCAATACTGTTCTTCCGAAAGGCTTTTGCTTGCTGGCAGCTTCTACAGGCTTATCTCTTTCATTCGTATCAACTTTTTCACAAGCTTCATTTGAAGATGACTTGCAGGAGCTTCTTGATGTATGTGGAAGTTTCTCAGTAATTAAACCTACGTTTCTGTTTGTGACCACTGGTGGCACTTCTTCCAGCTCTCTTTGCATCTCCTCTTCCAGAAGAAAGACATCTTCTACAGGAAAGTCATTTAAAAAGCCATCAACATACTCTACAGGTGGTGACACTTGTTCATCTGAAGGAGGCAAAGGACTTCCAGATCCCTGTACCAAATAATTTCCATTGTGTGCATTCAGTGAACCCAAAGTTGTACTGAAATTGGTGCTTCTACTGCAGTACCCACTTTCTAAATACGCTTCATTGTTTAAAGTGAATTCATCATTTTCTTCAAGACTAGCTAAAAGCTCTTCGTCCGAGGGGCCTAGGTTCTGCCCTAATCCATCCACAGGCCTTGCAACAATTTCACCAGGAGCAGCTTGTTCAACAGAATTAGGGTTTTCAGTTTCTCCAGTTAATCTAGCGAGGACCCTCTCCTGACAATACTCCTCCAGGAGAGCCTCCACTTCGCCCCCCAGCAGTTTCACATTTTCTGGTTTAAGCAGGAGGACTCCCAGACGATAGGCAACGTTGCCCTGTATAGTGATTTTTGTTCCAGGTGGAAGACTGCTGCAGAGGACAGGCACTGGTTGATACTCCATGCCCTGAATTTGATGGATCCCATCAGTCAGCTGCAGCATCAGCATTCGAGTAGGCTTTGCTTCCCAGGGCTTCTGGAATGCCTGAGTACTGGCTGTTACTTCTTCATTTACAGTGCTTTTCCCTCTGAGTTTCTGCAGCTGAAAATATGCTGGCTGGCTGACATCAACCAGGGAATCAACCTGTATGGAGTAGAAACCTGACAACTCTCCTTTGGGAGCATCCAAGATGCAGTCAGGCAAAATGGGATATTCCAGATCCCTTAGATCAGTAAGAAGCCATTGCTCAAACACCTGCCTGTTGATCTGGGCTTGACTTAAGTTACCACCACTGTTTTCTTCCTGGATCCAACTAATACAAGCTTCCAGCCATGTCAGAGGAACTTTAACATGCCATGTGGATGAAAGCCAAGTTTCCACTCTTGCTGCAATGTTAGACATAGACATTTTCTTTCAAGTTAAGAGAGTGAGTTCCCTAGAACAAAATCCAAAAAGGCATATTTAGTCTTTTGACAACAGCTAAAGCTATGACAAGTCTCTTGCTTTTATTATACAGAAATTTGCTTTCAATTAAAAAAAAGTTCTACAGGTACCAAAAATAAACACACATTTCTAATATTTGAAGTCTTTACCAGCAAAAGAAGTATGTGAAGTTTACTCATCAGGTCGTATCAGCTAAGTGTGGAGACTTCTACAAGCAATCCTGCTTGGTGACTTCTCCTTTTCTGTGGATTTAATTAGAAATATACAACTGAAATCCTTTTGTCATGAATGGAACATAAGCGGATGAAAAGGGAAAAAAACCCCGAAACCAACAGAACAGAATTCGGTTGTCCTCTATTTATTTTTGTTTTATTTCTTTGGGTGCAGTATTAACAAGTAGTTTACTTCAGCAACTGACCTGAGAAGTTAATCTCTCATTTCATCAGCACTGCTGTGAACAGAAGAGACTCCATCTATAACATAACCAAGCTGGGATCTGTCAGCACCTGTATCACAGGGGTGACTTTTACACTGTAACTGGATGAAAGCTTCGCATCCAATAACAGAAAGCTAGCTTGAAAAATTGTCATTATCTAGAGACCCAATCCAGAACTGGAAATTCTTCCTAATGTCCAGTCTGAACCTCCCCTGATGCACCTTTGAACCGTTTCCTTGTGTCCTGTCACTGGATCCCAGGGAGAAGAGATCAGCACCTCCCTCTCCACATCCCCTCCTCAGGAACCTGCAGAGAGCAATGAGGTCACCCCTCAGCCTCCCTCTCTCCAAACTAGACAGATCCCCGAGTCCTCAGCCACTCCTCACAGGACATGCCTTGCAGCCCTTCCACCACATTTATTGCTCTCCTCTGGACACATTCATGAACCTTCAACCCCTTCTTAACCTGTGGGGCCCAGACCTGCACACAGTTCTCAAGGAGAGGCTGCTCCACCACTGAAGGCAGCAGGACAATGACCACGCTGGACCGGCTGGTCACGCTGTGTTTAGTGCACCCCAGGATGCAGTTTGCCCTCTCACTGCCAGGCAGCACCCCCAGGGTCCTTCCTGCAGGGCTGCAATCCAGCCACTCCTCCCAGCTTATACTTGTGCCCAGCATTACTCCACCTCAAGTGCAGAATACAGCCTCTGTTCTTGTTAAATTTCATGCAAATGGCGATTGCCTGGTGCCCCAGCTTATCTACATCCCTCTGCAAGGCCACTTGTCCCTCGACAGTGAACAGCACCTCGAAGTTTGGTATCGGCAGCAAGTTTGATACCGTACATTGAACCCTTGCATCGGGACCATTGATACAAACATTGAAGAGGTGTCAGGTTGCCAAGTCTGAATAATATTTAACCTCTCAGAAAAGATGACCAAGGAACTCAACCTTCCCACGGAGCACAACGAAAACAAAAATTATCAAAGGAATAGTTAAAGAACACTATGTCTGGGGATTTTTGCAACTATAACCCGCAAGAAAGATAAAGCCGAATTGTCCCTAAAGCTCCACCGGTCAGCAGCCACCGTGCCGGTACTCAACCCAACTGAAGGGCCACTAAACCCAAGTACGTGACACTCGCGCGGTGCCGCCTCTGC